TGGTTGATTGACTTACTTAAAGAGCTGTTACCGTGAGTACATATGCTCTTCACCGCTTGTTCTTCAGCTGTCTGGTTCAGTTTGAAGAGTTCTCTTTTTACCTATTTTGGGTCTGGCCGCTAGTGTTTTGGAATGCGGCAGACAACGATAGTCAGAAGGGTTGAAATAGTGGGACAAACTTCATCGTGACAGAGGGCATGTAAACAGCCAAGAAACCGGTCAGTCAAGCCGTTATCCGATGGAATACGTCAGAGACGTGTCCTTCATATGCATACATGACCTTGTAATAATCTACCGTGAAGTTTGCATCTGACGTAAGGAGCGCCGTCGAGCCTGCAGCAAGGTGAGTCACCAATGGCATCGGTGGTCGGTACACGCAAGGTGACCCGACGAGGTGCGGTGTGCATGGCGACGTGGGGGTCGGGTCGACTGCGACAGGTGCATCTAAAACAGTCTTTGTTACAAGTACACTACCCATGGTAGTTTGACTGAAGAGAGCGGTGAGGTCCACCACCGTGGCTCAAGGTAGGCTAAGCTGTAACTTTAGCAAGAGTTCATTTATAGTGGGCTGACTTTTTCTGCACCTACCTCGAACACTCTCTCTCTCCGAACACCCACTGCGTTTCGACGACACACAGCCTGCAAGCGCATTTTCCGTTTTTATAATGTTGGAGTGTGCTCGGGCCTCACACAGTCTCTGAGATTATTATATTGAGTAGGCTGTTAAACAGCTGGCCTTCGTCTGACTTATCGTTAAGATGTCCCATCACGGTTTCAACCTGTTGAAGCTCGCAAACACCCGTGGGATACAGTTTGTTACTGCTAAACCCAGAAGAGTGCCGCTTTGGCTTTTGAACATCTGAACGTAATTTCTTGGCAAACCTAAGCGTAATGATCTCAACATGTCTGTTAAGAGTCATCTGCGATGGACTTCTTGCCCTCAACGAAAAACTGTTCACTACCATATCCACACTTTCTCAATCCTTCTTCTACTCCAGCCAAAACACACCTCCTAACTGAATGTCTGAATCGCACATTACTGAAACTGACGAAGGACTAGGTGAGCAGAGAAAGTAACCCAGATATCTATAAAACAGGCTTTGGTAGTTATAATTTCAGGCTGAGTTTCGACACTCCATATGCTTTCTCCGGTGAATTTGTGAAAGAATGTAATAAGTTCTAGCAGCTCTGGAAAGTTTTGGACTAAGAGGACGACCCCCATTTCTTTCGTTCAGTATTCACAGATGTTGGCATCACCGGAGCTGCCGAAAGTGTATCATCCTCTGCTCAGCCCAGACGAACACTACAACTATGCGATAACCACTGAAGTGTCTCTCTTCTCAAGATAGCGGGGAATCTCAGCCCGTGTTCCACTCGATCTCCTGAACGCGCATCCGCAGTAGGGACTTCATCCAGAAACGTATCGTGGATTCTGAAAACACCTCGGAACCCCAGACATGATCTTGGCGGCCCGTCAACTTCGGGAAAAGTGTCAAGAAATGAGGGCCAACGTCTACACTACCTTTCGTCGATGTGGCAAAGACCTTCAGCACAGTGAATCGCGATGGATTCCGAAAAATTATGCTGCATTTCGGATGTTTCGAACGATTTACTCAAATGGCAAGACAACTCCACGATAGGGTGATAGCTTGTATCACGGACAATGTGACAATCTGTGAAGCATTTGCAGGGGCCAGTGGAGTGAAACAAGGCTGTGTCCTCGCTCCCACCCTCTTCAGTCTTATGCTCGCCGCACTGATGGACGCCTACCGTGAGCAGCGGACGGGGATCAACACCAAGTACAAAATTGGGAAACACTACTTAACGTCTGTTGCCTGAAGGCACCTTCGAGGGTATCCAAAAACGACGTTCATGACCTACTGTTCGCGAGTGAATGCATTCTAAACACTCCAAATGAAGGGGCATATAGATAAGTGTGCACTTCTTCGTCTGCGGCTGCTCCTTCTCTGGACTGACCATCAGGACGGGGAAGGCAAAGGTCTTGGACCAGTCGTTGTTAAATGCAGACTAAATTCAACTCCTCATAAATGGCAGCCGAAATCCCCTCATGGCGTGAAGAAGTTCGGTGCCTTGGAAGTAAGATTTCAGGAAACAGCAAAATAGAAGAAAATCGCAAGTCGGATCTCCAAAGCCGGCCAGGCCTTCGGCTGGCTGAAGCATCTCGTTTGATACCGTCGCAGCATCCTACTCAACACAAAACCCGAGGATATACAGGACTTTTGTTCGGAGAACGCACTTGTACGTCGCGAAGACGGGTCTGTTTATGAAAGCTAAGCAAAAAGACCCAACCATCTGTACCTCAGGTGCCTCTGAGGAATATTGAAGATGAAGTGATAGAAAAGGATCTCAGACACTGAGATCCTGGGATTAAACTGCGTCCTAGGTATCCGCACCATACTGAGGCAGATCAAAATGCGCTGGGACGACCAAATTATGAGGACGGACGACGAGCGACTGTCTAAGCGGCCATTCTACGGCAACGTAGCTAGGATGGTCGCAGACAAGGAGGATAAAAGCGTCGCCACAAGGACGCCCTGAACACCTCATTCAAGCACCTGCAAATTACCCGAAGACTTGGGACGAGCTCACTCAGTACCGACGGGCATGGTGCGACGCAAAGACTGAAGAAGCCATCTCCGAATCCAACGGAATAGCTGCTGTCAAGAAAAAGCCATACCAAAGTGCTAGGGAACAATGGCGCCAGGACACCACCCCTTCCATCGTGTCCACACTGTCAACGGAGATTTCAAACACGAATCAACCGCGTTGGACGTCTATAAACGCAGGGCAATGTCAACATGACAACATGACCTCCATCGCTAGCAGTACCAATGAGGACACTCTTAACGACCTGCAAAACATTATCGCCACAGCCCTTACCCGTAACCGTGTGGACCCAATTCCAATCTGTCACGATTCCAACAGCACTTTCTCATCAGGTATGGACCTGGTCGGTCATCTGCGAATCCGTCGTACGAGGCCGGTGGACCAGTACCCGTACGAGCGATACACCCATCACACACGCCTAATCTGTCTAAAATACCCCAGGACATTCAGACACCACATGAGTCCAACCGGCCGCATGGGTACCCTTGAAAGTAGGGGTCTCCGCAATGTCATGAGTAATCTACGTCCTATACTTAAAAATTCTCCTATCACCAACATTACCAAATCCAGCGCTGCCAGCCTCAACACCACAAACAGGATCGTCACCAGCCACAGTCCCAGCCTGTCCTTACTGCCACCTAACATTTGCATCACTCACTGACCTGGTCAGGCACTTGCGAATCCACCACATTGAGACTGACAAACCAATGTCATGAGCCCTTCTATACACCCGTCACACTGCCTTTACTTACCCACACTGCACAAAGCACTTTGCATAGTCGCATGAGCCTATTCGGCTGTAGGCTCCTTCACGACAATCTGCGGAAAAACACCGCAGAAATTGCCCAATCACACCTCGTCCCGCTACCCCATATCTCGCACACGAACCCGCCACACAACACCCTATACACAAACGGAATAGGCACTGCTCATATCAGTGAAAAGTACGTTCTTTGGCGCAAACTGGCGCCTGGCCAGTTCGTATGCAGCTGTTGTAGCTTCATCAGTAACTACGTCCAATCCCAACGCTTTATGACTGACTGGCTTGGACTTGCATAAGAGACGGAAGAGTGAGGTCCACATTAGGGAACTCATTCCAACGGCAGGCTAGTGCACTCCTCACTATAGTAGACCTGACGCGCCTCGAAACTACCACGATGCACCAAAAGTCGTGGCCTGGAAGCGCGCCAGCTGATGGGATGACTCAGCCCTCGTGGTCAGTACTATATGTATGTAAGGCGATCGGCTCGAGGACCGAGAATCAGGTTCAATGGCTTCGTCTTAGTATGGTCTATAGGGTATTCTTGTGGACGTGAAATCTAAGCCACCTCATTCTGAAAAGTCCTGGCAAACGTAGACAGGCTTTGTTAGCCACTGTCCCTGAGCGCACCTCTGGTCGTCTTGACATTGTATGGCCATCAGAGTGTGGTTCCGTTAGGGGGAAAGAATGCGGTAAATACCGTCCAATTTCGTCTCACTTCAAACTAGTACACGCGCAAGTCACCGGTACTGTGCCACATAGAGTGGGACATAAGGAGAGAGGACCCTTAAAACGGGCCATGTGGGGGGATGCACTGGACCAGCACAGGACCTAGAACGAAATCCGGCAGGCGTTATCGGGATTGCGCACCCATAACTCCGCACCAGTTGAAATCCGTGCCGTCCTCCGACTTTTTCGTTGTGGTATAAAATCTTGGTCAGTATCCGTCGTGGGCCAGGGGGCGTGGTGGTACGCCCAGGTGAGGGTTTACACTATGCCAGGCGACCAAGACAATCTGTGGCGTCGATGACTGGACGGGTCAACACTTAGTCATCTCCAAGATAAGACTCCGTCTGCAACCCTGAAGGACATCACAAGGTAGGCGACCAGTAGGCAAGTTAAGTACCATTTCGTTGAAGTCGCCTACACACCGCTCACGCGTCAGCAATCAGTTAGTCCTGCGAATGTGAGAACTGCCGGCCCCAGACGACGACACCGCGGAGACTCTGCAGTGTTAATTTTGGAACTTTATTCATCCGACTGTCTTGGACGTCCTCGGACGCGCAAGTCGTCAACACCAGAACTGGTTCGACAACAATGACGCAGACATCAGCCGGCTGCTAGCTGAAAAGCCCAGGCTGCACAAGGCCTACACGAACCATCGGACCAACACCGGCAAAGTGGTCTTCTTCGGCTATCGCCGCCTGGTCAAACAACGACTGAGGGAGATGCAGGAGGCCTGAGTGACTCTTAAGGCCGTGGAAATCCAGGGGTATGTAGGCCGGAATGAAACCAAAAATTTGTTCGCATCACTCAAGACGGTCCCTCAACCAAAGGAACCACGCCGCTCGCCAGATCCGATGGAACGATGCTACTGACGAAGAAATCACAGATGCTGAGTCACTGGGCCAAGCGCTATAGAAGTGTCCTCTACCGCCCATCTACAATCTGCGACGCCGCCATCGACCGACTCCCTCAAGTGAAAACTAACAATGACCTGGATCTGCCAGTTTTCTTCCAGAAAGGATCCGAGCCCTGCACCAACGTCCCAGCAGGAAAGCACAGGCGTCTGACGCGATTCTCACAGGTCTGCGGGCACGGCGGCCCCTGAATAATGGACTAAGTCACAATGCCGCTCCAGGTGGTGTGACTCCAAAAACAAGTTCCTCAAGATTTCAAGGATGTGACAACCGTTCATCTCTATAAGTGAAAAGAGAACCGGCAACTCTGATAACCACAGGGGAATCTCGCTGGTCAACATCGTCGGGAAGATCTTCGCTAGGACCCCCCTTGCTAGGCCACCTCAGGAGACTTCTATCGAAAAGTCGGTGTGGCTTTCGAAGCCATTGCCGAACCATCGAGGTGATCTTCGTTGCCCACCGGCTGCAAAAGAAGTGTCAGGAGATATTGGGCTCACCTCTGCAACATCTTACTTGATCTGACGAAAGCTTTCAACATGATTCGCGACAGAGTCTGGAAAATTAAGCAGAAATTCAGCTGTCCTGAGGTCGAGGCGTGCCAACTTAATGACGGGACGGTGGCGCGCGTCACGAAGAGTTAGACCGTCTCATAAGAATTTGCAGTAACCACCGGAGTGAACAGGGCTGCGTACTCGCCTTTAACCCCTTCAGCCTCGTGTTTTCTGCCATGCTGATGAACGCCTACCACGATGAGCACCCCGAAATCCGCACTGTCTACAGGACAGACAACCATCTTCTCAATAGCCAGCTCACGCACACCCCAACGCGCCTATCCACGACCACTGTTCACAATCTGTTCTTCGCTGACGACGGCGCGCTCAACATCGTGACAGAAGAGGTTACGCAAAAAAGCATGGAACATTTCGCCGTCGGCTGCGTCAACTCTGAGCTGACCATCAATGCGGACAAAGCAGTGGTCATGCATCAGCCGCCAGCCAAAACTGATTGCAACGTTCCTCGCATTTCTGTCTACGGCATCTAAGTGAAAACCGTGGACGATTTCGCCTATTTGGGCGGCACACTCCAACGCACCACCAAAGTCGATGATGAAGTGGTCCACTAGATCTCAAAAGCCAGCCAAGCACTTGGCCAAGTACAGGACTCAGTGCGGGATCTCCACGGCCTCTGTGTCAATGCAGAGCCCAAGATGTAAAGTGCTGTCATCTTGGCGACATTGCCGTTTGGAGTGGAGGCCTGGGCTGTCTACGTCAATTAAGCTAGAAATCTAAATCACTTCAGCCTCGGCTGTTTCTGGTGAATTCTGAAGCCGAACTGATAAGACGTGATCCCCGACATGGGAGGCTTGGAAAGGTCCGGAACCATCGAGATGATCTTCGTCGCCCACCAGTTTCAAGAGGGGCCAGGAGGTGCGGACCCACTTCTATACAGTCTTCGTGGGCTTCATAAAGGCCTTCGACACGATGAATCGCGGTAAATTCAGGAAAGTCATGCAGAAATTCAGCTGTCCTAACCGATCTACGCACGTGATGAGTTAATTTCATGAGACGATGATGGCGCGCGTCATGGGCAACAGGACTGTCTTACAAACATTTGCAGTCATCAACGGAGTGAAGCAGGGCTGCGTACTAATCCCCAACCCTCTTCGGCTTCATGTTCGTTGACATGCTGATGGACTCCTACCGTGATAAGCATCCCGGGATCCGCATTGCTTACAGGGCCTGCGGCCATCTCAACAGCCGGTGCATGCAGGCCTCAGTGCGTCTCTCTACCACCACTGTCCACTCAACATCGAGACCGAAGCTAACAAGCAACGGAACATAAAACTCTTCGCCCTCGGCCGCACCAACTTCGAGCTGACCATCAACATGGGTAACACGGTGGTCACGTGCCAATTGTCACCTAACGCTGCATACAGTGCTCCTCACATCCACGTCAGCGGCACCCAGCAGGAGACCGTGGATGACTTCGCCTACTTAGGCGGCACACTCTCACACTGCGTCAAAATCGACGACAACGTGGCTTACTGGATCTCCAAAACCAGCCAAGCTTTCGTCCATCTACAGAACTCCGCATGGAATCGCCACGGTCTCCACCTTAACACAAAACTGAAGATGCACAAAGCGGTCGTTTTGACGCCTTTGCTCTATGGCACGGAGACTTGGGCAGTCTACGAGAAACAAGCTTGGAAATTCAATCACTTCCACCTCAGTTGTTTCCGGCGGAGAGTAAAGCCTAAGTGGTCGGACAGGATCCTGGACACAGAAGTTCTGGAACGGACCGGAACCCTCAGCTGCCACACCATGCTGAGACAAATGTAACTACGCTGGCGCGGCGAACTCTTGAGGATGGACGAGCGCCTCGCAAAACAACTCTTCTACGGATATGTTACCACGGGTGCTCGCCGACAAGGTCAGATTCCTCTCAACACGAACACCGTGAAGAATACCGCGCAGCGGCTACGGACCGGCCCGAAGATTTGGTAAGGCTTCTCACGGGACCGATTGGCCTGGAGAAGAACAATGAAGCCGACCAGATCGCCGTGGTCAATGACAAAAGGAAAGCTTGTGCGTCTGAGACGCCCCTGACCCTCAACAGCTGAAAAACCTTGTAAAACCCTTAAGAGTGCTCTTTAGGGTAACAGAACTAACTACAGAAGCCTGACTGTAAAATCCTCTACCACTTTCAAGGACAGGCATAAAGGAGGGAACGGGAGTCCTAACGACGCGTGGCCTCCCTAGGTCGGCTGAACTGTGAAAATAATCTAGCAATAGGCTCCGATATTTGAATAAACAAAGACGTTCGCTTAAATTGTTGGTACTGCAGGACTTGCAGTAGCTTTTAGGGTAGTGATAAAGTTGTGTTAATTCTACTGGACCAACAATGCCCCATCCTGTGTGTTCTGAGTGACGAAACTAATAGAAATCTCCAGTGGCACTGGGTTAGATATGTCAATAATGTCGTATATGATAAGGATAGGAAAACATCGTTAGGTAAATATTCTTCTCAATTCCAGATGACTTTTCAACGACTTTATTTCTTGCGACTGGCATAAACAGTGGAGTATGAAGGCGTGATCACCAGGCCTATGGCGCAAACGAAGTGTAGGGTTACACGCTAACCCCTCTTAAAGCCAAGGCTACCGCCCATTGTTTATTGCCTCCGAGCACGCAGACGGTGCGGGAAGACGGGCTGCCCGTTAACCTAACTGCTGGCTACCCGGCGCGTCCACAGATGCGGATAGTGGAACGGCCTTCAGTGAAGGCTAGCTGCGAAATAAGCAGATCCAGGTCTGACGAATAAGCAGTCGCGGACCAGCAGCGACAGCGCTACCACGGTGCGGTTGGCTGAGGTCTGGAATGCTGAAAGCCTTATAAAACGCCGCAAAACCCACCGATGACATCGTGACATGGCGACCGTAGCTCGCCATTAAATAAGTTCGCTTGCCGCCGCTGCCTTGTGGCTAGGCTTTTAAACCAAAGCGCTAGAGGAGACAACCTCGAAGTCTGCATTCGAAGTTCCCAAGAAACCTCATAAAACATGTCCGATCACAGTATTACGACCCATGCTACGGCGTCCGCGGTGGCCGACGCGCTCCGCAAACCTGGTCAAGTGGTACGGGTGAATAGTATGCGAGCTGGACTACTCAATCGGGGACGGACTTTTAGTATTGGATGCTGGAATGTGCGAACGTTCCTGGACCCCAGTACCCAAAATCTGACCGCGCGCAGCCTTGGTCAGTACAACGTGGATGTCTGCTGTCTGTCTGAAGTTCGACTTCCTGACTCAGGCCCACGCGAAAGATCCCTGGAGTCGAATCACACTTTACCCTGTATCACAGCGGCCTGCGCGACTCTTCTGATGGACACGGCATGACGACCACCCTATCGGGACAAGCGGACTCCGTTCTGCTTGCTTGGGAACCAGTCAATGGCCAGATGGCTTACGTACGACTGAAGAGTCACTTCACGAACATCTCTATCGTCTCTGTGTACGCACCAACTTCAAATGCCGAACAGCGCGATAAAAAAGGCGTTTTACTCGCATTTGCTGTTGACGTTCAACAGCACCGACCTCACATCCACTGCGTACTGCGACTGGTACTGGAAGACACGCCGCCGGTGGGCTATAGTCAGCCCTAATACCTGAGCACAACCATTTTTTTTTGAGAATAGACTCGCTGAGTGTACGCAAGCCTTAGTTCGAGTCAGGTCACATGCATCGGATGTCATATAGACTGATCAGTGGGGCGGCATCTAACTGACTAATATCTGCGGTCCACACTTTCATATCCCAGAACGGCAGGGAGGAGTCGGAGGTCGCTGTCTCTGTGTTAACTCTGTTCGCAGGCAACGAGATTCACAACCACAATAACTATTGTGACAATGGCAAACCGACGAGAACAAGGGGGACCGGAATGGCTAATTTTGTTTTTCTAGCTGTCATCAACCAGCCACTTTCAACACCGGGTGTGAATCACCTGGGATTCGGACCTGGGGTCTTTGGTCATTGATTTTAGCATTATGGCTGAGCCACAGGCCCATTGGTCTCGTCATTTGTGATTGGGGACATTAATTATGATAGTTTGGTGCTCATCGATAAGGCTGCGGGACATGGTAGCCCCGTTATGCCTTGTGGCTCAGTCTGGTGACTCCACGGGCAATCGCAAGTTGACTAGTAGCATATGATAATGGGAAACCGACAAAGGCAAGGATAGAGTATTACACTCATGACCAGATATCCTGGATCCCAATCTCCGATCCGGCTCCAAGCTATGCGCCTTACGAGGCTGTTCAAATTTTACCAAGACTTATTTACCTTTGCGGGAGAAACCTATGAGCAGATCAAGGGAACTCCAATGGGTTTCACAGTCTTCGGTTTATCGGCAGAAATCGCCCTTCAAGCCGTGGAAAAGACCGTCTTCATCCAACATGGACCGATCTTTTGGTGTCGTTATGTTGACGACGCGTTTATTATCTTCAGGAAGTGCATGCTGCAGAATTTCCGTAATTTGCTTAGCTCAGTCCAGATATAGATTTTATGGAGGGAGAACAGGAACAGCAGCTGCCCTTCCTTGACCTGCTCATCAGGCGAAGTCTCAACGCCGAAATAGAGACAGCGGTTTACAGGAAGGCAGCGAATACCACGCGGCGTCCTAGCTTCCATTGAAACCATCAGGCATCTCATAAGCGAAGTCGTGAGAACACTCCGCAGACGGGTCCGGACTCAATGCAGCAATCCGGAAGAAGCACATGAGGCCCGACGCTTCCGCACCCGGCTTATGTGGAATGGCCATCCGAAGACGCTTATAAGTCCATGCGTATGCGTCCGGACCCTGAGGACTCCACCGGGAACACCACCGATGACATGATATCCTCTATCATACACTAAAGACTTCATAGGTGACCGAACGAGTTGCCGCGAGACCAAGTGTTGGAATTGCACGCCGGCCAAAACACACCATGCCAACACCGACTAAGTCTCACGAGGCAGTCGGACAAAGTTTATGGTATCCCGTGGCCAAACTGTCCTTCTACTTACAAAGGTCAGACTGTACGCGTGCTCGGATAACACATACGCAAAGATACACTGACTGTGCGACGGGGTGATGAATTGCCGCAGGTGGCTGCCCACAACCTCGAAAAGGATCGCAAGTTTGGCTTCGCAGACATCAATAATCACCTACGCCGGAAACAGGGCAGGCCGAGAACTGATTGAACCGTGGGTATCGGATGAGAACTCGGTCAACCGATGCATCAACTTGGCGTCAGCATATAGAACCCTGCGAAACCACCACACCCGAAGCACTGAAAGTTGGTTGGCAAGTCCCCCTGTGGGCGTCGCCTGCTCTGTTACTGTTCCTCTGACGGTGAACTGCCGTAGGAGGTCGAAGGCTCAGACAGATAAACAAATGACTATGCGCTCGACTATTCTTCTTTCCTGCAAAAAACAGCCCTCAGCAGTCCTTCATACAACGGCCACGCGACAAAACTCTAAAAAACATCGGAAATAACATGTGACGGGCTGTATTAACGTCCTGTGTGTGGTAAACGCCAGACAAAGGTCTCCGCCCCGTCCGACACTGCGCCCTGACACATTTCTAGTTGGCTTGGTTTGGGATTACCGATGGTATGAGGCCGTCTCAGTTCGGGTTCAGTGCTTAGATTTCTCGTCGTAGACTGCAACAAGCGCCTTGAAAATGACAAGATGCGTCAACAGTCGCGGCTTGGAGTACATTCGGCTAGAGAGATGAGTCGATCCTATTCAGGACCGAGGGTCTGGCCTCGAGGGCTTTCCTTTGGTTTGCCTCTATGACACGCCAGCTTCGGCGAGACCTAATTTTCTCATCTGAGTTATTGTGGGGTTATGGGTCAGGATAAGTTTGGTATACATGGGAGGGGCTTCAGACTTGCCAGCCACGGCACTCACGCCCACCACAGTGGCTCTGACTCCCTTTTCCCACTAGAACATGCGCATAACTAGTTCATTATCGGCCCAACTCAAGTTCAGGCTGCCATTGCGTCTGCTCCTGGACAGTGGTGGTGCGTTGCTGATGGCTACTGACGACCACATTGCCATTTCATTCAAAATGGCCTCCCCCACCAAAAACGGCGTCCCGTCGGATCTCCCAGGTCCACTGCTATCCTTGTTATGCATAAAGGACCAAGCGGAGATTTCGTCCCATTGCTGACAGACTATCTTGAGTGGGACTAGCGGGCATTCTGGACGGGAAGATCTTGTTCGGGCGAACACGACCTAGCTAATAATGCGTCGATGTCCCGATACCTGGCCAGTCTCCACATTCACACCCATGACGCACGGGGAATAAGGCAGTTTTGCGAGCCGTTTCTGCCTCGGACCTGGACACTTCCGTTTCCGTGAACCTTACGTTTTCCAAATAGTGTATTCAGGCTGCTAGTGCGAAGGCGCGCAAGTATTCCAAGCCTCCCCAAGAGAGCTCCCGCACCCTTTACACAACTCGAGCTCAGGTTCAGCTCGAGCACTGCTGATCGGCCTGGAGTACCCAATCTATGACCTAATGGACACTGAAAACTGTCGGTGTCGAACTTTTTGGTAAATGGGCTCACCCCATCATGTGTCGTTTATGGAAGGTCTCCGAAAGTTCAAACTACCTGCCTTCCAAGACAGGATGTCTCGTGCTGATGTAAAAACGGCGCACACGACGGATGCTCCTGATTCAGACCCCTTACAGTTTAGATATGCACAGGACTTCCGCACATCCCCACGCACTGTTAATAGTTCACGTGGGCGCATGACAGGTGGATCTCACGTTTAACGGGTAATAAAACCACAGGATGGATCACATACACGCGGTCACAGTCCCCAGATGATCATCCATTGGCACTATCTCCTATCTAACAGAACTACATGAGCCCTTACCCTTGAACTGGATGCCTTGACTGAGTATTTCTACTTACGTCTGCCTGGCTGTACGCAACCCGCATAAGAGTTCTCACCGTGAGCTCCAAGGCCAACTGCCGGGATTTCAAGTCTCACATTTTGCCGTCCATAACTCTCACTGTCTAGTCTGAATTTTTTTCTGACTTGAATGCCCATGAAGGTCCGATTTGACTTAAAGCACGTTTTACAGGTCACACCAAAAAAACTGGGAAAATCAAATGACCTGAACCTCTGCCTAAGATAAATAGTGGTGAATTATCGCCACAATCACCGTGACAGCTAACCTAGGAATGGCTTGGATCGCTGATATCATCCGTTCCCCAAGTACTACTGATCTGGTCACAAACATGAATGGGTAACCAATTGGAGAATCGAAAGACATACCGGCCACACGCAACAAGAGGCAAACTCGAGTAGGAGGCTCACTGGTTGTCAAAGGCGGTGTGGTTGTTATATAATCTAGGGCTAATGAGATCCACAACTCGCAGGTGTTGAGGGCGTCTAAGACAATGTCGATTGGAAGAGGCACACCTCATCTGACCTAAAAGTATCTAAAAGCGGTGCGAGCCATGCACATGCATTCAACTATAGTTAGGAACAAACATTTATCGCAATTCGCGACATCGGAGTAAGGTGCAAATTATCCCTCTAGATATAGCTCGAGCTAGTTGCAATTATAGTGAAGTCTTGTTTAGCCCCGATGGAAATTGGACTTGACCGTAACTAGTAGGCAGCCTATTGCTGTTGAAATGACTGCCCGCGCTCACAAACATGGTAGCGGGTGTCCTCGTGGGAAAAGTTCCAGCGATTCTGAAAAGACAGACGTTATGGATCAGCTACACATCTAGGCGGAAACCAAAGTAGACGAAAAGTGCCAAATTGCACACTGAGCTGGCAGTTAGGTATCTTTAGTGCACATAACATACATCAAAACGCTTTAGACCGATCATGAACAGAGATGAGATCACATAGAGTCGGTCTCCCCGGGCGCGTAAGTACGTACGTATGCGGGTCAGACAGCCAGCGATTTCAAACTTAATCGTATACGGGAAAAGTTGTCTGAGAACTCAAACTGCCCTGTAAATCAATGGTTAACATGAAACACACGAAGTAAGTGATTGTTGGATAGCGCTGGTCTCTTGAAGGAAAACCACGGTCAGTCGTATTCGAGTGGGGAGGGACGAAACTGTACAAAGAAAAGGAAATGAATGTCGGAATGAAGGATGGGAAAGGATGGTTATAGGATAGTTATCGCACCAGTAGTGCAGTCCCGTGTTGTTTGGTTGACGATCTGCCCATCGACCTCCTCTGTAACAGTTTCTACGTTGTTCTCACGTACTTTGGTGACCCGAACAACTCTTCCATTCTCGACTCGGCAACTGGAGGAAACAGACCGCATGGAGCCTCCTCCCCCACCACCGAACGACGAAGAACTGCTAATAGAAGTAAAGCCACCACCCATTTGGGAGTCGAACGCATCAAAGGCAGACAATCCGCCACCAAAGAAGGATCCAAACATGCCACCAAACATGCTGTCGAGAAGTCCGCCACCATAAGGCCGAATAACATCATCGTTGTGGTGTGAAGTTCTTCTTTGTTGACGAGAGTAGGGAGTGCCATTATGGCGCCCATTGCTGGCAGCTGTTGTAGCAGAACGATGGACACGATGAGCCGGAGCAGCGGACGCGAAGCCGAAAAGTTGGTCAAGTCCTGAGCCACCGAAAACCTCCCGGAAAATGTCCATAGGATCGTGGAATACAAACGGTACAAAGAAGGGGTCCGCGGTGGAATAGCGCGCAGTACCCCTGCGGGAAGGGCCGCCATTTACGATACCCTCCTTGCCGTATACATCGTACAGTTCACGTTTCTGGGGGTCGGAGAGAACTTCGTAAGCCTCACCTAATAGTTTGAATCGGCGCTCTGCTTCTTCTTTGTTATTAGGGTTTTTGTCAGGATGCCAGCGAAGTGCAAGCCGCCGGTATGCTTTCTTAATCACTTCGCCATCGGCTCCACGATCAACCTCCAAAACGGCGTAGTAATCCTCTTCCATCACGACCAACCCCACACTTGACCGGGAAGACGAGCGCTAGGCAAGTGAAAGTGGCGCCGGAACTTACTGGAAAATTTGGCGGTTTCGAATCAGCCTAGAACAGGACGCAGGTCCAAAAAACAGAAGGAGTGCATTACTCAAAATGAAATTAGTCGTGAGCTTTAAATAAAAATTTGCCTAGCTTGGAGCGAAGTCTGACAAACCTTCTTCTCGGGTTCTTGGTAACAATTATTCCAATGAGGTGCTTTGAAGAGGTCTGTGAAAATTGGAGGGCAATAATGACAGAATAACTGAACTTAAAATTAACATGGACGTCGGTTGAAATTAGCAACGGCAAAAATAGAAAACGGAAATGCAAGGTTAAAGGAGCGCAATAAGTTGATGATGCCTTCAGCTTCTGCAAGACAAACGTTCCCAGTTGGATGTATGACACTCTTTAAAGGTCCGTTTAATGACGCAATTTATTCTACCATTAACCTTTTGCGTGTTAAGAGCACCCTGGGTGAAAGATTCCTTCCAATATCATAATTTATCTCGGAAGCTGTGAATTTTAAATGTATGCCTGCGGTAAGTGTGGTCGTGGCCGTTTTGGAAGGGTGGCCTTGGTTTGATATTTCCATTTTCATAAGCCTTGTCTAGGTCAGCATGGCAACGAATGCGTTGCAGGATAGGAGCTGGGAACATGAAACCTGTATCAACTAGCAGGTGACTCATTGAGCCCCTGAGCCACGGGAAACTAGGTAGGGATTCTGAATTTAAGTCATCACGCTTTCGAATAGCAAATTTTCTTATTTTCCATTTTCACCATTTCTCCCAAGCAGCTCTCCCCGCGACTTCGAGAAAGGATCATAAGGAATTTGGAAAAAGCCGTCTTAAAATTTCTTTGACTGTTCGCATTTTCCCCCTAAGCCTTTGGTTTCGTTCGCCTGATCCGTCGTCGGAATTTTCGATTTTCTCAGACTGGGTGTTGTGACCTTTCGAGGACGCGATATCGTTCTCAGTCCAACTTTCTGACCAATGGCCGAGACCGGTGTGGTGCACACGTTCTAAACCTCCGTTTTGCTCTCCATGCATCCCCTTTAGAATCGCATTGTGGTCACAAGGATGTCGGGGCCCTAGTATCGAGGCCCCATCCTCAGGATGAATCTAGCTTACTCTTCTATATCACTTCGTAAAGCAGACTTTTCCTCCCGAACATCTGACGTGACATTGCAGGTTCGCAAAATTTTCTTGCCCTTTGAATTTGGGCATTTTTAACTGCTCCGTCTGGAGCTCATCCTTTTATCCATATTCCCCCGATTTTTAGTTTCTGGTTATCATCATCATCATCATCATCATCATCATCATCATCATCATCATCATCATCATCATCATCATCATCATCATCATCATCATCATCATCATCATCATCATCATCATCATCATCATCATCATCATCATCATCATCAACATCATCATCATCATCATCATCATCATCATCATCATCATCATCAAAAGTATCGTATGCGAAGAGACAAAGCCCTGGCGGACGTCAGTAACTTGCCCGGCTCCAAGTAACGCCTTCTCCAAGTTCCGCTGTAAAGTTGGCAGTGTATGTAGAGCATAAGTCCGAAATTATCACCTTTGTTTTCCACTGCATCGACAAAGCTCTTTGAACGCTTAGAAGCTAAATTTATCATGATTATACTGCTTATACTTATTTTATTCTTTTGGCACGGACCAAAAGTATATGCGGAGAGATAAGGATAAAATGTAGAGATGACACCTCTAGCGAGGGTGTTCAGAGAATCGCCTTCGGAGCCTTTTTCATACATTGTGACGGCATCATTTTCGTAGTGTTCTAAAAGACTTAGTCCTTCTATGTATCCGCATGTTTGAATGCGCACCACAAACGGCCGCCGGGTGTAAAATTAAACAGCTAGTGCTAGAAGCCGCTTGGTTGACCGGCCTGTCATTGTAACAACATTTTCTTGTAGCTTCTTTGCATTGATTGCTTTTTTATTACCTTTCAGATTTTCCTGTTATCAGAGAACACTGCGGCCATAGAGGCATGAATATTTTTGTGATGTTTGTATACATGAATGCGTTTAAAGGGTCACTGGAAAGACCTCTAATAACCCAATGAACACGCAGTAACTTTCCATAATTTTACTTGGTATGCAGTTGCGAAAAACTGAGAGTCTGATCTAGTCTTAAAATTACATAAAATAGGATTGCTGGTGTCCACGGGTGTTCAGTATGGAAAGCGGGGGGAGTAAGACTTTGTCCAGCGACCGCGCTTGAGGAACATTATATTTCTCAGCTCCTGAATTGCTTTGGGAAAGCGGGATTGTTTTGCAATGGTTTACGTTGACAAGGCACTACTATGGCATAGAACCCTTCCCCAAACCCCGTTTTGTGTGCCCTTTCCTTCTTCTCTAATCCAACGAGTGGCTAGGGTAGGTACTTCAAGGGAATAGTTGCGAACAAATGCTTGACGCAATTGGATCCCGTCTCTGCCCTGCCTACTCTAGTTTCTCTTCGAATCTGACGAGTGACTTGACTAGGTACAATCGAAACCGTGTGGTTGATGCTCTTGGACCCCGCTATCACGATGGCGTAGTTGAGACCAATATTCAATGTACTTGCGCCATTTGACTTTTCCCTTGCCGTTTCCTTCTTTTATAGTCAAGTGAGTGGCCAGGTTCGATGCGCCTTCGGTTGCGTTCATACTCTAGCGCCCACTGCACTTCCACCCCTTCCGTTTCCACCCTGCCAGCCTTCTCCCTTTTTGCTTATCCAGCGAGTGGCCAGGTCAGCTACTTCATAGGCAGTGTTGTGCCCGAGTGGTCAATGCAATTGTACCCCCTTTCGTTCTGCTTGCAGTGAGCTTCTTTTCTAATCCAAGGAGTGACGAGACTTGATGCGCGAACGGCGCAGTTCAGACCAAGAGCCTGCTGTACTTGGACTTCCTTTGGCTGGCTTCCTCCTTCCTTTCCCGTGCGGCTAGGTTCGGCGCGTGACTGTGGGCGTTTAGATCGAGTGCTTAATGCACGTTGCATCTACTAGTTCCCGCTCTGCTATTCCTCTTGCAGCCTTCTAATTCTGCGAGTTGCTTGACCAGGTATTGCAAGGATACATTTGAAACCATGTGCTGAATGCATTTGGACCCAGTTTCTGTACTCCTTCCCCCTTCTTTTCTATTGCATCGAGATGGCAGACACTGTGCGTGAACGGCGGCGTTCAGACCAAGTGCGCAAATCACACGCATGCTCCCCCCACGTTACCCGTCTACTTGCCCTCCTTGTTTTCCATTCCAATGAGCGGATAGGCTCAGTGCGTGGCCGGTTGCGTTTAGACCAAGTGCTAGGTGCACATGCAATTCTAGCCGCTGAGCGTTTCGCTTGGACTCTCGTTGATTACTAATCCATCAGGTTGATCGGTCAGGTGCGCCAACGAGTCAGTTAACGCCAAGTGTTCCATGCACTTGCACCCCGTTCCCGTTCTGCTTGAACTGTCCTTCTTTCATGACCCAACATGGTATTCAGTTTCAGTGTGTGAGCGGCGGCGTTAGCACCGAGTGCTCAATGTAATTGTATCCCCCGTCCTGCGATTCAGCTTGTTCCATCTTTTTTTCTAACTCAAATAGTGGCTAGGCCCGTTGCATGAAACGACGACGTTCAGACCATGTGCACTTACAGTCCACTTCCCATTGTGCTAGCTTTCACATTTTCTTCTAATCCATCGAGTGCCTAGGTCAGGTTATTTAAAAGCACATTCCATATCAGGTGTCTACCGAACTTTAATACCGTTCTTGTCCCGCTTTGCTCAATCTTCCTTCCATATCGTGATAGTGACTAGACGAGGTACCAAAAGGAACAGTAAGAAAGACGTTGACGTGTTTAGGAAGATTTCGATATTGCAGTATTTAAGGTAGGTTGTAGTAGGCGGACCGTCCTGAGGCTTCAGCTGGGAGACTGGTTCCTGACTTACGTCGACTCGCTTGATAGAAGGAGATGGAGATGGGGCCGCTTTCCCCTTTCATGAACGGTTGGTCTTAGATTTTGGCATCAGGCGACCAGACAATATCTCAACGCACGGGTGCGATTCGAGCAGTCAAAGAAGACGCAACAGGTACACGATATATTGGGAAAAGGGGAGGTATTAAAACGGAAGAACAAGGAGGGTCAGAGGCGCAGAAAGTTCCAGGGGGTCAAGAGGGGCAGGGAAAACACTTGCTGGTCAGGGAGGTGGTTTCGGAGGTACGATATCCACAGGATTTTGGGCGTTTTCTTGATCTCGTTCAGTGTCCTCACCTGAAACACCAGAGAGAAGACGCACTCAAATCACGGCACGAAACCTCCCGCCTCCTTTTTCCCGCTCGCCCGTTTTTCTCCCTCTTTTAAACAAACTTGCCTTTCCGGTTCTTACAAGGTAAACAGAATTGTATGCACGTGCGCGGCGTTGCCCACAGGATGTAATTGGTTTGTGCGTTGTCTTTTGATTTGACCATGTTGGCCTTCGGCCTGAATTTTTTAACGTTTTCATTGCTATAGTTGCAGAGCGCCTTACCTGTTTGACTGCGTAATTTCATTGACCAGCCATGCTTCTGCTAGATGTGTTAGGTAGGTTTCTCGGGCCTCTGGCAAGTTGTCAGCCTTCACACCGAACCACAGCCTGCATTGGGCTTCATATATCTGGGCCCAGATTTTCCTTTCCCTTATTGGGCCTTTCTCCGGGAGTTTACGCTTGACTCTACTCCAGTAGACATCTATCACATTGGTTTTCCTTCCGCTCGCCGGATCGACAAAATCCACCGAGTGGTTTGCCTTCAGCAGCCGATAACCTTCTTTTGAAAGACATGCAAAGAGGGCAAAAGCCTCGTTCCCTTAATCCAGCAACCTAAATAATAAGGGATTATTTTGTGGTTCTCGCCTTTACAAAAGACCCAAATAATGGTGATGGACATAGGTTATGAGCCTCACTTGTATGCATAACCATGTCGTGTTGCTGTGGGAATATCGCCTGTACACGCAGGAAGTGGAGATCACTGAGGCCGTGCTAACTTTCTGACGAGATGTTGCTGCCATCGAAGTGGATTAGCAACAAAAAACTGGCAGGATCTTATTGCAGGAAATCCGGATGTCGACTAGGACATTGTTAAATAAAGTATAAGCAAATTTATGCATCATAAGTTCTCGACAAATTGAGTCGAGAAGACGAGTCGTCCTTTCTGTTTAACGTGAGTTATGAAGAGCAAAATCAGCAGAAGAAGCCAACTTTGGGGAATATACGTAGCAAAACATAACTCCTGCATTACGAAGAATTTCGTCAAAAGCGGAGCTCGATAAGGTCAAATATCCGCGGATAGCGGAAGACGTATTAAATACAAGTTATAAGGCTGGCCGCGGGTCAGTCTAAAGTCCTCTTTAGCTACCTTAGCAACAGGTTAAAGAAAAAAGAGAAACTGTGATGCGGAAAGAAGAAAACAATGAGGAAATTGATGGAAATGAGTACAAATTAGAACAAATAAGGCGCCTTTCGCACCTGTATCTATCATTGAAACGGCTGTTGACAGGGCCGACTTATCCACTAGAATTTATGAAGTGGACGCGAAGCCAATGTTTTTATAGGTGTGAGAAAAGAACTCCATACGATTAAGAAATGCAAGTCTTCGAATCCAGGTCAGATACCGAAAAAGTGCTGAGTGAGCTTGCTTGCGGACTTTTCAGACTAGAATAGAATAGAATAGAATAGGTTTATTGTAGCGCCCCTTGGGCACTGTCAGTCCCCTTTGAACTCAGGAAAAAAACCTAAAACAAACTCGTCAATTTCAACTGCACTTTGACTTCATTTGCTTCGGGTGCCTGGTTAGCCAAAAGAGCGCGAATTGAGAGTTTGTTTTAAGTTAAAAAAAACCTCAGTTATAAGGGAAAATAATAGCAAAAGTTTCAAAAAATAACGATGTGTACAATATAAAAATTGAAGTTTGCAGTTTGGTAGTTTTCGGGGGCATGAATAATATGTCCTTCATGGCAATTGAAGAACTTTGATATCGGCCTGACCTTGAAATTATTTTCCTGTTGGGTAAATTTCGGTTTGCTCTAGTTGTTGGTTGTCAGTCTATCTGGCAAGCTGTAAGGGGGCGCTCGCACAGTTCCGACGTATTTTTTCAGGAGGCTTACCATCGTTGTCTGGACTAAGAGCTGGAAAGGATGAATATATATCAGGAGTAAGAGGCATTCAATGGTAAGTCACAATCAAAACTGTCAAAATACTATTGAATCATGTATCATATTGTTCTTGTTAATGTGAAATTATAGGAGTAGTGGTCGACTGTTTACTATGACCTAATATAGTTCTATATATGTTTAATATGGCTTTAATATAGACATACGCACGACTAATATGCAGGGTTTTATCGAAGGGTATATTTTTATTAGCTTTATAAGGGATATTTAGTGTCTGGTGACATAGCTGATGAAAACGAGAAAGGGAGGAAAATAGAGGAATATCATTATCTGTTCTATGTTTATCAATGATGCTATCTTTTATAAATTTGATTATTTTTAGTGCTATGCTCCGGTATTTTTCAATCGGCTGGCATCATCAGAGCCCTTTTGGACCAAATTCAATATCAAAGAATTGACTTGAGAAATGTCCTATCTTATTCAAAAATAAATGTGTATTGTTATTTGAGAGGAATTTCTTAGTTTTTATTTTAAATTCGATTAGGGTTCGACTTTTCCGGATATAACCTGGAAGAGAATTCCAGATAGTCGCATATCTTATGGTGTAGAAATTTGATCGTTGGGACTTTGTGAATTTGGGAATCTTTATAATATCTTCGCTATTTCTGGTGTTTCTAGGGGCGTTTTGGTTGGTAAGTAAATTCATTTTGAGAATATCTTGGTCGTGGGTGACCTTGAATAGGAAGTTTAGACCATTTTGAAGTCTTCTGATCCAGAGTGGTCGAAGACCGTATTTATGATATAGTTCTAAGTATGAACCCTGGATGCCATCACTTCTAGACAAGGATCTAGTAAACCGTCTCTGAATGCCTTCTAGTTTCTTTCGGCCGTCTGAGGGCATTATGCCGAAGAAAATTGAACAGTAATCTAGGAGAGGTAAAACATACATTTTGAACAGTTGTATTCTTAGTGCATTTAAGGTGAAATTTTTACATATGAATCCACACAGGCGAGTGGCTTTCGGTGATATTTGTTGGACGTGGGGAGATAAATCGAGGGTATTTGTATAGCTGAGACCTAAATCTTTTACAGATTGGGTCTCTGTTATTTCATCATTCTCGAATATTATGGGGGGAAGTTTTTGTGGGCCAAATATCAGGAGATGGCATTTTTCGGGTGAAAAGGGCATCTGCCACTGACTACTCCATTCGCTGAGTTTTCTAAGATCAGTTTGAATTGTTCTATGAATATTGGCTACTGTATTCCCGTTATATGCATATGCAATTTTAAGGTCGTCCGCATACAAAAACGTCTTAGCTGAGACAGATATGGACGATAAGTCGTGAATATATATAAGAAATAGAAGGGGGCCTAGGATAGTGCCTTGAAGTACTCCGCTGGTAATAGGGGATGGTTCTGAAACGACGTTTCGAATTTGCACCACCTGGTATCGGTTTTGAAGATAAGATTTAAGGAAATCAAGGAGGGGTGGCCTAATTCCATGACTTTTTAGCTTTATCAGTAGTCTTTTATGGGGGACTTTGTCAAAGGCCTTTCTTAGATCGAAGTATATTGAAGCTACTGTGTTTCCATCATCTCTATTGCTGGAAACGAATTCCAAAAAAGTAAGGTGGCAGGACTGACATGACTTTTTGGGCAAAAATGCATGTTGAGAGGAGGGAATGAGGTTGGCGTTCATGAGATGGTCTAGCAATTGGTTATATACTATTTTCTCGAGGATTTTAGCTATAGCCGGTGTTCGGTGAACACCACGATAGTTTTTGGTATGAGATCGGTTGCCGCTTTTAAATATGGGCGCAATGGTCGAGTATTTCCACATGTCCGGAAAAATTGCATTTGACTGGAGTAGGGTGAATAACTTAGATAGGAGTATTGGAGCATATGTCATATGCTTCAGAATACATGGTGGGATTTTGTCTGTCCCATAGGATTTGGTGTTTGATAGTTGTTTGATGGCTACTTTAACAGTTTCTTCACTAAAATGGATCTCACTAAGGATGCGTTCAGTCATCTCGGTCGCTTGGGGGATGGTTCCCTCTTCGACTGTGTAGTTAGCTGAGAAGTATCTGTTGAATAAGTTTACTATTTGTTTATCATTGGTTATAACTTGCCCTAATTCATTAATAATAGTTC